GTGTCATGATTACAACATAATATATCAAAACAATAGGCTATTCCATGCGAGAAAGACCGGATGAGTGTATCAAATGCTAGAATACTTCTATGCACATTGACAAAAGGCCTTTCCTAGGTAATATAGTTTAATGGATGATCAATAGACATACAAAAAATTTTCATACACTGAATAGAAAAACTTCTGCAACAGAAATGCAAATGCAATTTTAAATTATGCAACCTAATTTCTGAAAACATGCATGAAAGAAAGAAAACTAACTTAGGAAAAGATAAATAAAGAGTCAAAAGGAAAAAAAAAGGCCTACAAACAGAAAGTCTATCAGCATGATTAGTATTTATCCGCCATGCCATTCAGCAACCCAAATTACTTCCCTCTTTTCAACTTAATTTAATTTAATTTAGAGGAACGGAATACTCAATAGTGAGTACTAGAACCAGAAAGCACAAACCACATTCAAAATTGAAACCCTCTCGCATTTTTGAGTAAGTGAAAATTAGAAGAATTAAAATTAACAAAACAAATTACAAGCCGAAAATCAAACAATTATGCCTACAACAATCATGTTAAACGATGACCAGTGAACCATAATAACTGGACATCAATAATACATGAAAAAGATATAAAAAAGGAAATTAAATAGAATTATGGAAGCAATGACTTTAATGCAGACTCTAAAACAATATAGGACCCTATGGGATCACGAATCTATAATTTACTTTACTCGAAAGTTTCAAAAGAATGAAATAAATATTAATCATTGTAATAGTTCCTTAACGTAAGTTCATTTGCAATTTAAGTGCTCGCTGAAGGTTTGGAGCCTTGTTATCTCTTTTATCTAAATTCTTCTCCAAGCACTCTGTAAAATTATTGCTGTCCTAACCTTCTTTGTTTTCTAAACATTTTATTCTTCAAATTTCTATCGTTCTAAGCCCACCAAAACGTTACTTAAACACCAACCCATGCATAAAAATCCTTTTCATTGATGTAATAGTTAGTGATGCCCTTAGGGACATTGTGTTCAATGTTTACATACAGTCAGAAAACCTAAAGCTTGAGACGTGATAGAATACTTCATCAGCATGTGGAACATAACATTTGACACCAAAACAAAAACAACAACTGCTATATATGGATACTTGAAATTGATCAAACTGCTATATTTGACAATTTCCTACCACAAAATCACGCAAGATGACTCGGACAGGCTCACATAGCAGCAGTTATGTTGAAATATCTCTGCCTTTTTTGCTTCTTAATCAGCTATGTTGCCTTATTTATATAAATAAAACAATTCAAAACAATCTGAACTAAATTAAGTGAGAAATTATAAAGCAGCTAAGACCAAAGTAAAACTTTTGGGATTATTGTGTAGTTTACGAATTCTTGAGTGTCAAAAGAAAATCAAGTCAAATCACCTGTAATGCCCTCCCATACATTTGACGCCTACGAAAATTGAGCATGGCCATTGATACCTCTGCCTGGTCTATTTCATTTCCTTCTTCTACCCACTTATCAAGAGCACCATAAATAGAGGCACCTGGGAAAGATAATATGGCCTTGTAAAGTGCTAAAGTGTTTCCTTTCTTTGGTGATCTTTTCTCACTTGGATCAGTCTCAGTCTCTGACAACTCCATCTCATGTTGGGATGGCTCAACGTCTTCCTCAACTTCAGAAAGTTCTGGTTCAGAAATTAATTCATCTTCATTTTCATCCTTTGCACTGCTCTCTGGAATTGCTTCAGCACTAGATGGTGTTTCAAGTTCAGAAAACCCATCTTCCAAATCATCTTCCTCACCACTGCTTTTTGCACCAGCTTGTGAAGAAAGGCTGCGTGTGCCCGTGAAGAAATTCCAAGAAACATGAGTTGTGTGGTATAGTCTCTTGGAAGGCAGACATCCATCAGGCAATGATTTACAGGACTCAAGAAAACAAACATCCTCATGTCTGTCAGTAATTGGTAGCTCCGAATTAGCACAGCATGCACGAGAAGTTCCTATGTTGAAAGCTCGGTTCCTGGACGCAAAAGGAAAGCTAAGTCTCATATTTATTCCAACCGAAATAAACCAACAACATAACATAACCAAAAGATCCAGATTTTATTTCAAAACATCCTGAATAAAAAACAAAAGTAGCAGGACATATATTACTAAAAGAGATATACATTTAAAATTTAAGAAGACGTCATTGTCAAGCTTCTATTAGTACACCCATACTATGAAATCCTTTGGGACAAAAGAAACACAAATTGCTTCCCAAGAAAAGCTCGGAAACAAGGGTAGCTGCTCTAGCAGTTAATCTCTATAGAAAAAGAACAAGAGAGAATCAACAGCATAAACGATTTTTTTTAATTTTTTGAACAAATGATATTATCTACACTAAGGCAGAGGCGTGGTGGGATTAGCCTCACATGGACTAGCAATAATGTGGTTCAAATTCTCATTTGGCAAGAATCGAACCTAAGACCTCTCACTTACAAGGGAAGGGGAATACCACTAGACCGTAGGACTAAGTTGCCTAAACCTAACCAACAGCAGAAACTATGTTGCTGCAAAGTATCCCATAATGTGACAGAAAAAATTTTACAGTCTGGATCAAAGGGAAGATAAATTTCCAGTTTTAACAATCTCCCTCACTCCATGAATTCAATTTTTTCCTCATCTGTTTTTGTTTGTGCTTTTCGAAAGATGGCGCCAAGAAAATGAATTCCATTCTAATCCCCTTCAAAAAATTCTCTCTTCCTTTCAATAAGCATGAAAATAATGATTTGTAAATTCAAGGTAAAACAAATCATTCCTTGAAAAGATTAACTCATTGCATACGGAAGACAAACTAACACAAGTAAACAAAATTAAAAATAAAATAAAAACAAAGAAGCCATTTGCACATCAGATGATTAAGATGAACCCTAAAACCTGTAATCGTTCAGATTATTCTCTCCCACCTTCTGATTAACAAATAGGTGATGAAGATGGGCCCACTGAACCCAAGAGCGAAGGGAAGAGAGTATGTACCTGAGAGGAAGAGAAGCACGGCGGAGAGCCCACATGGCGACAGTCGGCAAATCAGAAACACCCTAACACTCAAGAGTCACAGGGAAAATGGAAATGGCGGTGGTCGTTGAGTATCTCAGTCCCTTAAACCCTAAAAAGTAAAACCCTCCCTTTGCCTTTGGGAATTACTGATTTCGGGACATACGGGTTTTTCGTTTTCTTGTTATCGTGGGTCTCTTAATTATGGGCTTTGCTTTTTTTTAGTACTTATGGGCTTTTTTTTTTTTTTTAATTTAATTTCATTCAATAATTAATTAATAAAATCGTTGGGTGACTCGTAGACTGCAATTTAGTTGTTTAAGAGCATATTCGTCTTCGTATTAAGTTCAGTGTTTGTCAAAATAAATAAATAAAGGATATTGTAGATTATTTAATGAAAAACACGAAAAGCATTTGAGTCCATGAGTATTTGTAATGTTAGTGGTAAGATTATAACTAACGTCATAATTAAAAGGTTATAACTTTTATTGGACCAATGCATTTCACTAAATCAGGGGCTTTTGCTCCATTCACGATAATATCCTCATTGTCTATGGGCGTGAGAACTTTGCTAGTTGTAAAGGTAAAAAACAAGAAGGATTGGAGCATGCGCTCATGGCTATTAAATTAGACTTGGAGAAAGCTTGTGACTTGTTAATTGGGATTTTATCATTTATGTACTTTAAGGTATCGTTTGGTATGCAGACGGGACGGGACGGGACGGGACAGGACGGAACGGAACGGAGGGGGAGCAAAGATGCCCTCGGATGGAAACAAGGAGGAAGAAGAAAGAGACGGAGAGGTTATAATTTTGTATTCCACAGATATGGAACGAGTCGTTCCAGAGGGTGAGGTGGAACGAAAATTCACCCAAAACTCGTCCCGTGGAACAGCTCGTTCCATCCGTTTTAGGCGCACCAAACGTGGGACGGAACGCCTTGTCTCACTCTGTTCCGTCCCGTCCCACTTACCAAACGGTACCTAAAGATTTGGTTTTCATATTAAATGGGTTACTTGGTTGCGGAGTGTTAATTGGGGTACTTCTATCCCAAGCAAGGTACTAGACAAAAAGGAACCCTTGATTAGACATATGAACTACAAGGAGTTCCCAAGCCTCAGCTGGGGCTGCTAACTTCTCCTTATGGATTTAAAATCTCTAACCTAGCATTTGCAGATGATTGCTTATTGTTTCCATAAGTCCTATTTATATTTTTCCAGCAACACAAGTTCAAGTATTCTTCATATCCAACACAAAACTACTATTTGGTAAACATCTAGGTATTTATAACATTGTCCTTTGAAAGAACCGTGTTAATGGAAATGAATTAATGACAAGGTTAAACAAAAATTGGATGGTTAGAAGGCTAACACTCTTTCTAAAGCAAAAAGACTTACTCTTGTTAAATCGAGCCTCATTGTCACTGGTATGTCATTAGCTTGGTTATGGAGTGTACTACTATTGTTTGAGGCTTACCACCACATTTGTATTATTGAAATTAAAACAAGAAATTGCGACTATTATGAACATTGGCAAATCTATTGACAATCTTTTTTTTTTTTTTTTTTTGAACAAACGATATTATCTATACTAAGGGAGTGGAGGAGTGAGCTAAGCCTCACAATAAGCTAACAATAATGTGGTTCAAATTCGCTTTTTGTGAGAATCAAACCTAAGACTGAAAAAAAAATACCACTAGAGCGTAATACTAAGTGGCTAACCTATCGACAATTGAAAATAAGAAAAGTGGGGTAAAACTATTATCTTGTTGTCAAATTTACATGGATATTTTATTTTTAAACAAATAATATTATCTACACTAAGGGATGAGAGAGTAGGCTAAATCTCACATTGGGCTAACAATAATGTGATTTAAATTCTTATTTGACAAGAACTTCGAACTAGTAAACATTAATAGAGGAATATAGGAATATAGGTGGCAATTTACAAAGATATAGGAAAAGGAAAAGGAATAAAAATCCTGCTGTCGCTGACCGTCTGGTCTGGGGGAGGACTTGAGAAGTCAGAAAGAATAATCCCTTTCCGTCTTTCCCCATTTGGACTCGCACGGTCGCACCTAGGTCCTAGCCTACATTTTCTGCCTTCCTCACACTTCATTTTCGCGCCAAATTTTGAGCTTCATCGGCGTTGCGGGGAGCAGCTCTGCCCTCCATGGACTCCGAGCCCGACTCTCCAAAAACCAAAAGAACAAGGTTCCATCTCTCTCTCTCTCTCGCTCTCTCAAATTCGTGAGATTTATGGCTTTCTCTTACTCACGTTTCCACACGGACTTGTTTGGTTGGTGAGAAATTGAGCATAGATTTTATTTGGGTGGGTGATTTATGAACTTTCTGCAAAGTTAATTGGAGCTGCATGTGTTATTTGATTATACAGGCAAAATTTGACATGGATAGTATACACTGTTCGATTCTGTCTTTTTCTCTCAAGTGTTTCGATTTGTGAAACAAATTTTACTTGTTCTGTATGAAGGATTTGAATTAATTACTGATTCTTTTGTGCAACGGAATACTTTCACATTATATAGCAGCCCGAAACATTTTCCCAAACAGTTGGTGTGCATTGACTTCCTTTAAATGCAATTTGTGATATGTTTGATTCTTTTGAAGAGATTTCTTGACATAGTGTGCTTGCAGGTACGAATGTGCTGCATGTTACAAGCAGTACAAGCAAAGGGAACATCTTTTCGAGCACATTAAGGGCTCCTTCCACTCAGTTCATCAGCCGAGATGTGGTGTGTGTAAAAAGCACTTCATGTCTTTTCAATCACTGAGGGAACATCTCACTGGTGAGATTTAATTCCTTGTCCATTTGATTTGATCGGCTCATTGTGTATTCGTTTTGATTTGTCTGTAAGATTGTAAGATTGCTTCTTGTTTGATTTGGTTCCTACGATTTAGGCTCATTGGCAAAGCATTTTGCAAGACGATTTTCACTGAACAAGGTTGCCATCTATGTCTGAAGCTTTTTGATAGCGCTACTTCTCGGAGCGAGCATAAAAACACGTGTTGCCTGTCTGCGCCTACTCCTGTGGTACGTTGATTAGTTGAACATCAAGTGTCCAGTATAGAACTGGGAAACTTGTCATCTTCCAGTTGTCAGAATGTTTTAGCTTTTTGACCCATTAAACATACTCTTAGCTGCAATTATACATAGATGTACGCATACATTACTTATCCCTTTCAAGTTTACCTGTTTGCAGGGAACAACAATGATGCCATGTGCAGAATCTAAATCTGATATAAACTTGAGCAACGAAGATCACGTTGGAGGGGGTCTTGAAGCAGTTGCTCTGGATTGTGAAATGGTTTGGGGTGGAAGTGATGGATCACTGGACCTATGTGCAAGAGTGTGCCTGATTGATGAAGATGAGAATATCCTCTTCCACACTTATGTGCAGCCCCAAATTGCTGTCACTAATTACAGGTACAATGTTTCTCATCTTTGATTTCTTTCAAGAAATTTCAGAGTAAGCCTTTGATGCGTTGAATGTTTATATTCCAGATATGAAGTTACTGGGTTAATGGAGGAGCATATTAGAAATGCCATGCCACTTGAAAAAGTGCAAGAGAAAATTTTGCGAATTTTATACAGTGGAAAGACCAAGGTTCTTGTGGGGCATAATTTGGACCGGGATATGGATTGTTTGAGATTCAATTATCCTGATTACCTGCTGAGGTATAAGTTCCTCTTCTTATATGGCACCAATGCACTTAGTTTACCATTCACTAAACCCCTATTATAACATATAAACATAATAATTTTGTAGAAAGTTTAATAAAAATAAATCATTTAATAGTTCTGCAGACAAGTTATCTGCACTCTTATTATTCTCTTCCAATCTTTTCCTTATTATCTAGGACATAGTACCTGTGCTGCTGGGCTGCCTTATTTATCTGCGAAATAGATGGTATTGCTGTTTCTTAAGACTTTGCATTTATGGCTGTACTTCTTTTCATTCAGGCCAGCCAAGATGAGTATGGCCTTAGTCATTATGCATAACCGACAAATTTTATATGACAATTATTTGACATAGTTTCCTAAAAGCTTAGCTTGGAGAAAAGAAATCTTTTGTCTGAAGCCTCTCTATGTTTGACGGTTACTTATTCTATATGCAGGGATACTGCAAACTACCATCCGCTGATGAAAACAAATTTGGTCAGCCACTCACTCAAGTACCTCACACAAACATATCTAGGGCAAGTTTTTCTTCGTCTCTGACTTACTTTTGTCTTTTGGTTTATGCTGACTTCAGTTTTTATTTATTTATTTAACTCTATTACGATTTCGGGTACTTTAAGTTGGTTGGTAAAACAATTATGTGTACTCTAGTTCTGTGCATGTAAAAGTACCCAAATTATTTGTTTCTCATTTGAACTCTGTTAGGGCACAGATACCTAATTCACGTTCTCTGGTAGAAGCTCTGTTTATATTATTATTATTAGCTATACAATGGTAAGTAGAAATCACAAAATTGGCTCAATTCCATCTAGAGAATGTAAACAACGAACACATCAGTTAATCCACACCTAGTTAATAACAGGTGTCACAATCTAATGCTGCCAAGTGTCATCTGATCGCGAAGGAATCTGCTCTCTCTCTCTCTCTCTCTCGATATGGTTGTCCTAGTAAATATCAGATGTTCACTATAATCTTTTTACTTGTTCCAATCATATTCAAGTGCAGTTCATTTGAGTAATTCTGCAGAAGTTAATAAGGACTCTAGTTCACACTTTTTTAACAACTACAATAGACACTTAGGTACTTTGTAGTGTTTGGTTATCGTAGAAGCCAGCTCTAGTTTTTAGTGCTCCCGTGAATGAATAACGTAATGAGGTTTTGGCTTTACAGGTATGAGATACAGTCAGGTTCACATGATCTATATGTGGATTGTGTGTCTGTGATGAGACTGTATAAAAGGTTCCGTGCACTAGATCATGAGAGAGAAGGGAATCGGGCATCAGTTGCGACAACATGTGCAAAAGACATTTTGGAAAGTTTTGAGTCATTGAAAACCACCAACCTTGAGGAGATGGCAGTGAATGATCTTTATGAAATGTCAACGCCAAAGTACAAGTGTTGGTGTCTGGATTTAGTGCAAACGTAGATTCTTACTTGGTGTTTCTACAATCTTCGGTCACATTACATGGGATTGATGGAAAGACCTTTACTTTGAATTTCGACTCTAAAGCTTTTGGAGATTTTGATGTAATATAAGTTTGTTCGTGCCTCCTTTGCCTTTCTCGTCGCAGATGGTGAAGTGAATGAGGACACAGGTTCCTAAGAAATATTGAATTCCCTTGATACTGTTGATGAATTCTAGTGGAAAATGGTGTAAAACCTGTAGAATTTATTAACAGGCTTTGCTTGGGGTCGAATTTATTAACCTTTACAGAGTAACTGAAGCGTTTGCTAATATGCTTAGGGAATTGTTATTGACACTACAAAAATCTCATTCTACATTCTTTGCAAGTGTATTTTTCTTTCTAATTATAGAAAGTTTGGAGTTCCAAATGAGATTCTTTATGCTTATAGTGCAAAAACTGAATATTGAGATGAAGTTTTGTTTGCTTTTGTTGTGCTCTTCTCAAAAAAAAATCTTGTGTAGGGGTGCCAACCAATGTGGTTCATATGAGATTTCTCGGAAATATGATCCCATTTGTATTTGGACGAGTTTTAATATTTTTAACTTTTAAATTGTGGCATAATAATCTCGTCATCGTCATAAAAAACTCTTACTCAATATACGCAAAAATAAGCAAAACAAGGCTTTACTTTATACGCAAGTTACCTTAACTCAATAGCAATGTTTTAAAAAGCGAAGACATAGGTGAGGCGCTTCATGGATAGCCTCGCCTAGGCGAAAGCCTTGAGGTACGAGGAGAAGCCTCACGGAACCTAAAGTTTTAATATCTATTATGCATATTTATATTTACAAAATATAATACTTTGTAAAACAAATGTAATTATAACTAAATCAAAGATAATATTTTCTTCTTCATTACTAAGTCTAGTTGTACTTGGAAACTTTGTCAGATTGTCTAAAAATGTTGTAATTATTTATTTTATTGTAAATAATCATAGAGAACTTCAAGAGAAATAAGGTTGAGAGGCCACAATGATAGGAAGTTTTAAGGGAAATAAAGTCTGACATAATTATAGTCAATTCAAAAGGAAATAAGGGCTAAGCGGAGCAATTATAGGGAATTTAAAATGAAATAAAGGCTGAGTGAAGCAATTATTATAGGAAATTTAAAGATAAAATCAAAATGCTAAGTGACAGAATCTGAATGGGCAATAATTAATAAAAAAACAAAAAAAAATAAAAAATAAAAAAGAGTTAGACTTAGACTTTTCCACTAGGATTTGGAGGGAGAAACTCTCTCTTTCTTCTTCATTGAAACTACGGCACAAACGGAGTAATGGCAGATATAGACCTGGATTTTGGAGACAAACCTGGATTTTGAAGAAAAAAAATGCCCAAGTGAACGCTTGGGTGCGCCTCGACGCTGCCTTACGCCGACCCCCACAAAACAGAGGCGAAAACCCAGCCGCCTCACCTCCAAGGCCACCTAGGCGCGCCCCAAGACTAGTTTTTTAAAACACTGTAGGGAAAGAATCATATAAAATTGTATAAGCCCAATATATCACATCCCCACCCAGGGTGGATCACTTCCCGGGCCCCCTCCACCACCGTAGCACGATATTGTCCACTTTGGGCTTACCATTCCCTCACAGTTTTGTTTTTGGGAACTCACGAGCAACTTCCTAGTGGGTCACCCATCATAGGATTGCTTTAGCCCCCTTCTTGCTTAACTTCGGAGTTCCTACGAAACCCGAAGCCAGTGAGCACCCAAAAGGCCTCATGCTAGGTAGGGATGGGAATATACATATAAGGATCACTCCCCTGGGTGATGTGGGATGTTACAATCCACCCCCCTTAGGGGCCCGACGTCCTCGTCGGCACACATGCGACTAGGGTTAGGCTCTGATACCAAATTGTCACATCCCCGCCCGGGGTGGATCACTTCTCGGCCCCGCTCCACCACCGTAGCACGATATTGTCCGCTTTGGGCTTACCATTCCCTCACGGTTTTGTTTTTGGGAACTCACGAGCAACTTCCCAGTGGGTCACCTATCATGGGATTACTCTAACCCCCTTCTCACTTAACTTCGGAGTTCCTACGGAACCCAAAGCCAGTGAGCTCCCAAAAGGCCTTGTGCTAGGTAGGGATAAGAATATACATATAAGGATCACTCCCCTAGGCGATGTGGGATGTTACACAATAGGTAAATAGTTAGCAATGAAAAATAAAAAAATATACAAATAGTGATAAAAACTTACCCTGTGTTTGATAGAAGCATATTTAGGCGACTTAGCTAGCTTATTCTTGTGCATTTGTGCTATTATTTCCTAGTTAATGTCGTATTACAACTCAATTTCGTGTGTTTGTAGGTCCTAAGGGTTAAAGTACCAAGAAAGTGCATTTTGGAGCAATTTTGGACACTATGTGGATAGCTTGCATATGGGCCAACATGGATGGACGAATTTGGACTTCAAGAGGCTAGAAATGTGATAAGAAGAAGGAACTAAGCTAAAGACAAAGTGGATAAGGAAGTAGCTTAAAAGAGGAAACCCTATCCAAAACCTTATCTAAAACCTTATCCAACATTATCCAAAACATTATCCAAACCTTATCTCATCTTATCCTATCCAAACCTTATCATGTCTTAATCTTAGTTGCAAGGGGACCTAAATAGATAATTCTAGAACCTATTTCTAGAAGCATCCTCTTCTAGAAGGCCCAAATCAGCCACAAAACTCATTCTTTCAAGAAACCCTACAAAGGTGGCGCATCAAACCCTTCTAGAAGGCCTTGCCTTGCCTTGCAAGCCATTCCACCCTTTCCCCCACTTGTGCCGCACCTTCCTAGGCCCTATCCCTTTTGGATTCTGATTTCTAGGGCCTAATTCCTTTTGGATTTGGGTTACACAAGCCTTGTATGAAACTAAGTGGGCCAAACCCCTTCCTAAGTGGATTTGATCACCTATAGCCGAACACTAGGGCCCTAATCCACTAAATCTGTTAAGTGTAACCCTAATCTACTTAACCCTAGGACTATATAAACATAAAATCAGCCAAAAATTCGTACCACCCTTGATGCTATTCAGAAACCTTGTGCCGCAACCCCTATTCTCCATTCTTCAACCTCCATACACCTCCATACACATCTGCCGCACCCCTACCACCATAATCAGCCATCCTCCATCCCTCTAAACAAAAACACACCATTCAAAACCCCCAAATCCACCACACACACCTTGTGCTGCAACAAGGAGGAGGAAGAGGAGCCTTAGCCGTGCATCAAGTCATCCTGGAATTACTGAACGTTTAGGTGTAATCTTTCTTATGATTTCAATGTTTAAATTCAATAATCTTTGTTTGCGAGTATGAGGAACTAATCCCTTTTTTGGCTAGGGGGAATTTCGAAACCATGGCTATATTTGCATGATGATTTGATTACTTTCAGTTGTGATTTCATGAATGGTGAATTCAATTTACTAATCTGTTTTAATTAAAACTTGTTTATGTATATGAATTGAGAGTGCACACTTAATTTGCATGCATAAATCTGATGCTAGGGTATAAGGAAACTTCACCTAATCGTTGGGAACTTATATTCATGAGTAGTTAAGATTGTTGGTCACAATTATGTTAAGTAAATTCTGGGCATAAGTATCATGCGCTTTCATAGTTACGAATGCCTCATCAACACCTATGATTTCCATAGAACCTAATGATCCTTGATTGTTTTTCTATTATGCGCTTTCATATAGAGAACTTTTAAGGAATCATTTGATTGCAATGCGCTAATTCCATTCAATTTAATGACCTAAGGGAAAGCTGAGAGTTAATTTAAGCGTACCTAATTAACTTGGGGTGTTGAGGTTCATAATTCATTGAATAAGCAGCTGAAGATTGTGTTGTATGCAAGTATGCCATGTGTGGAGAAAAACCTCCTAGCTATCTCACCATCCACTTAATTCCATCAAATTCGTCCAAATCTGCCTAGTTTACATTATTGTTTTGTTTGTTTGATTTTCGTCCAAAACCAAATCCCTAATTGTCTTAGAGTGTCTAATTGGTTCAAATATGTTTTAGATTGTGTTTTTAAGAGTTTTGAGTCAAGTTAGAACCAATTTTTGTCCAAGTTTGTGTTTAGGCTCAAAACTGTCCAGTTTGTGTTTTTAGGCAGTTTTGAGTGTTTTTAGCTTATTTTGAGTCTTGTGAACTTATTTTGAGTCTTTTTAAGTTGAGTTAAGTGGTTTAAAGGTTAGTTCTAGTTAATTGAGTCAGTTTAAAGTGTTTAGCAATCCCTCCTAATCCCCGGTGTAAGAACGATCCCTACTTATTTATATGCTACAATTGTCAAAAGAGGGTTAATTTGTGTGTTAAGTTAATTTTCACATCAGTGTTTGAATGAGAAAATGATAGAATTTTATTTTCTAGAATTGTGAATTTTTCTTAATTTAAAAGAACAATAAAATGTGAATACGGAATTTAATGTGTCTATGTCATCATTAATATATAAATGAGAGATAGTAGTTAGAAAATGAGCTAGTAGTAGTGGTGTGGTGGCGACGACAATGGTAATTAGCAATTATTTCACCCAAACAGAGTGTTAATCTTTCTTTTTCAATTGTTTGAGTTTTAGTCCAACTACATGAGGTTCAGTCATAGTAATAAGACTTTGTCTTTTGTATTTACCAAAATAGATGATGATGGGTGGTAATGGATGGGTTTATGGAACACAATAGAATGGATTATTGGGAATGGATCGCCTTACTTATCACCCTACGCACCATATACTAAAACCAAGTTGAATGATTTGTTCAATTTTCTGTCCATCCCCAATTAATCCATAACACTTATATTTTTTTTGCAATTTTTTATTTCTTTGGAATATTGTTTAGCTGAAGATTTTCTTAGAATGCTCTCATGACATGAAAACATAAATATTGACGAGAATTTCGCGTATGAAAATTTGGCCATTTGTATGGAATTTGAATTGTGTGATTGAAAATTTATTGTATTTTGTTCAATTTCCAGCTAAGAATTCACAGAAACAGGTAATCGTCATCGTTAAAATTCAAATTGTATGGCTCAAGATAATAGTAATATCAATTTTTAAATTAAACCATTTTGTTCAGTTTGAATATCTGCATATTTGATTTTGGTATTGTATAAATATGATTTTTATTTTTCAATCCTGAGTAGGACTTTTGATTGATTGTGCATTATTGGAGGAAATGTAGATTGTAGGTGTCTGCTTACTGTGTAAAAACCACGTTAACTTTCAACATTTGAAGCATAATACTTTAGGAAAACATCATGTTTATGAGAATGGCAATAAATTAAAACATGCAAGTCTATCATTAGTAATGCTTTTATGGTTCTCTTTTATGTTGAGAAAATTGGAATTCCTTTTAACAAACTTTATTGCTCATATGATTAGGGAGTACTTACAGGAACTACATCAAAGCTGGCAGCTTCGGGCTGGCTTATAGATGGATGGCTTCCTAATCTGTATGACTACATGATTACCGCTACTATTCAGGTTCGTCCAAAACTTGTTCAAAGAGCAGACTGTTAATGATTTGAGCTGGATGTAAATAGTATCATATCTTTGTAAATGACACTATAAAATCATATCTCTCAGTGTAAACATATTATATGTAAAATAATATCACCCTAGATGGTCTTAAAACCCGCGACATCATGCGTGCAGGGGGGTGCGGGGCTCAATTGCTAGTAACACCTATTTACATAATATTTAAACTTGAGAATTAGATACTCCAAATTTCAAAAAAAATTTCTACACAGAAATCCTAACCACCATTGCTATCAACACCACTTTCGTCTCAACCACCATCTCTACACCATTATTATCAAGCACTAATTTAATAACTTAATATTTAAGATAGTGGCACTAGACGCGTTTTGAACATTTCTCATTGTTAAAAACTCCTCTCTAATTAAAATCCTATTTGTCATTTTCGTTTTCGTTTCACAATACAGTTCTTCAAAAATCGTTTTTGTAAAACGTTATCGGACAATAGAGTGATAGCCCAAAGAAAGCATGAAAACAAGTGTTAGCCCGAACCCAAACCGGACATAAAACCCCATTCGAGAAGCTGAAAACCAATGAACCGTCGTCGATCCAAAATTCGAAATACAGATAGTTTCGATAGCAGAGAGCAGAGCAGGATTGCCGTGTCGCACAAGCACAACAAAAACGTTGGTGAGTCCAATTCATCCATCGTTCTTCCCTTTCTTTTCATTCTCCTGAATCGAATCAAGACTTTGAAAAATAAGCAAAACCCTAGCCCCTTTTGCAATTTTTGTCGGGAGAGGGGTAGGGTTGGGGTTGGGGTGCCTATAAATTGCTCTACTTAACTGATGTTGGTGCTGTCAGGTGGTATTCATCATGGATTCAACTTAGATATTGGTGATGCAAATACAGCATTCGCAAGCCTTCAACTGATGCAGCCAACCGGAAGTATCGCCGCCGTTCTCTGCTTAGCGGCTCATCTCCCTCCAATGGTTAGTTTTCCAATTTTCGGTTCAATTTTCACAAGTTACAACAGTCACAGGCAGTCTTCTATTTGTAAGAAGGTTCAGTAGAATTGACAATTTGACTTACAATTCATGTCACTCGCTTTGGGCTCATTTTATAATCATTTGATTTTTTTTAGTTTTTGTTTTCCCTATTTGTTAATGATAGGATTAAAAGCACACCACAAAGTAGCACACAAATGTCCTATTAATTTTCCTTATTAACAATAAGATTCGTCAATTGTAGCATATGAAAATAAGGGTCTTTCCCGCAGAAGATTGTTTTATCTACCTACTTAAAATGTCACAAAAACTGAGCTGTTGTCCCTACTGACCAGCCACTGAAAAATACTTATTAGACCGACTTACACTTATCTAAAGTCTACGAAATTTTATATGCAGATACTAGACACACAGAGCTACACTCACACAAATTTTTTGGATTTTTGGAGTTGATTTGCTATTTAAATTAAATTGAACAAAAACAGGACAAAAATAGATTTTAAGTAGTTCGCAAATTAAGAAAAACGAGTTAGGGGAATTGCTATCCACCACCAAATAATCATGCAAACATGTTATGTTTCATTCAAATTCCTTTCATTTTCGGATGAAGGTGCTCAAGTTGGCTCAATGTTAGAACTCAACCTATTACTCTTTCTTATGTAGTATGTTAAGAGAATGGTGTTTTCAACTTAACTTAGTCCCTAACATGCAATCTAGAATGGTGTGTTCATAGATTTAACAAGTAGAAATCATTAAGAACGAAAAGAGTTTGAGTCATCACAAGGCATCGTAAGTACTAGCGTTGTCTTACTTATCCTAGAAATTGATTCACTTGTTAATCACAATTAACAAGTACTACTCTAGAACATATGTAGGTCCTCATTCGACAAGGGTAGGCACACACATATTCATAGCATTAGAATCCTAGATATGCTTACTAAGTATGCATCCGTAAAACACACATAAAGAATTCATCAATGAGACAAGTAGTGAACCAATTTTCATCCATTCATAAAAGTAATTCAAACGAAATGTCATAACAAACTTGCAATCATATTCGGGGCTTCAAAACAGCCCCTAACTACTAAAAATTAGTTGCACATAATTCTCAAATTAAACCAAAAGAAAGACATGAGTTTGAGAAGATAAAACCGAAAGAAGAGAATGCCAAGATTTCCTTCTTCCTTTCCTTCCTTCCCCAACGCAGCAGCCTTGCCTTTTTTCCTTGCTTTCCTTCCTTTTTGTTCTATCTTTTTTTCCACCTTTTTTTCCACTCTTTGCCGCTGCAACCTGCAGCCCTTTTCTTTTTTTTTTTCTGCTGCCAAGTTTTTTTCTCCATAACTCACCCCACTAACAGCCATTTAGTGATGACAATAAGTGAGAGGAAATGCTAAAACAATTGTAACTCTTTGGGCAGCCTTTATGCCCATTACTCCCACTTAATTTTCTATTTCCTCTGATATTTGAATAGGTGTCAGCTGGCTTGTTCTTGGCTGCATCAGTTTTGGCTGCTAGTTTTATTGGATTTATTGCTTTCAATGCTTTCTTGTCAGTTACAAACTGCTCAGCCTCTAGGGAACCTTTCAGTGTTAAAACGGCCATAACTTCTTCTAGAAAAATGATATTAACAATCCGCGAAATGCTCCAGAAAATAGACATCCGTAGCTTTCCAACAATATAAGGCTCATTCTCTAATTCATTCTGAGCTGTCTGCAACTTGCTTTCAAAGTCAGCTGACCTGCACAGGCAGTTTTGACGAATTTGTTACTTAAAATTCCACTTGTGCTATTTTTATTTTCTTTACTTGACAAATCCTACAAAACACAAAAACAAAGTAAATAGCTCAAAAATATAAGGAACTAACTAAGAAAAGACAAGTGAATTTGATGTAAAATTTATATAAATATGAGCTTACCAGTTAAGAGATTGGGGAAGGTATATGGGAATACTTGGGGGAGTTGAGGAGTAAAAGTCGAGGAGGGAGCGTGGTGGGAGGAGGAGGAGGGAGAAATGAAGGATAATATTCGGAAACAAAAACTAGAAAAGGGAACCAACATGCATGTTTGATAACCATTTCATTTTTAGTTTTGATTTTTCTCTTTTAGTGATTGATGTATGGGGGAAAAGAGGCATGAAAACAAAAAAAATCTTGAATAGTTTTGGTTGGTTTTTAGTTTTCATTTTGGACCTTTTGGTGGAGGAGCTAAGTTAAAAGTTCAATAAACCGGAGTCTTTGTACTTTCTTATTTAATAAATGCAGTTTCACATGTAGTCCGCAAGTTTATTGTCTCTGAGTCTCTCCATGTTGAACTTTTCTGATTCATGTAACAATTAGCCTATAAAAAGGACTACTTTGTAAGCTTTTAAATTAAGTGTTCGTGGAAAGAAATTCTGGATTTTCTGCTTGTGTATGAGGCACAGCAACCTTGGAGTGAGTCCAAGGCACCTTCGATGTGAGGCTGAAGGCCGGTTTGATGCTGGAATTTTTCTAAATGCTCTATTGTTGTGATTCCAATACACCTTTGGTGTGATGCCAAACATAGGAGTGAGTTCATATATCTTGTTGCATTTCTATCTACTCCTACTGTCCTACATCAGCTTTCCTTGTACATTTCTTCTACATCTCTCCTACCATCATCATTCCTCCACTCTTCTACATTCCTCGTATTTCTCATGTATTTGCCCTACATGAGTGAAAACTAAACATGATATGGTTTAAATAGATGGTCTACCTATTTTGGTTCCACCTATGCTGTATTTGTCTTGTGGTCCTACTTCCCAATTATTTTACGGAATCTTAAAGCAATCTTAAGTTCCCATTTGAGGATGAAGTATATTTTTGTAATATTGTACCCATTTTGGTATTGTTCTCAGAACATGATTGCTTGGCTGGCTTTGTTTTCAGACTATATGTTTGTATGTGCACGTGTGTTTTGGGTTAGATATTACTTGCTTATGTCGAAGATCATGTGTGCCTTCTGATTCAGTTAGGTTCTCTTTGCAGATTTGACTAGTTGGACATATGGAGCAGAAGAAGATAATGAAGCAATCTTCTAGCAACTGTCTCAGCAAAATATAGGGTTTTGAATTCTGTTTTCCATTTATGAGTTACATAAATGAGTCTGCTTCTGCTGCATGATTTTTCAGCTAGGTCACGGTTTGGCAGTGGTATCGCACAGTGATTATATTTCTAGCTGTGTTGTATTTGTTATAATGATATATCTATGGCGAAGCTGTTTCATCAAGAGGTTTCGATTGGATTTTTGTGCGGCTTCAGCAATCCAGAGGACTGCCTTGATATCAACTTATGACAGGGAATCAGCTTCGAATAGGAGATTTCCAAAGCCCATCCTATCAACTGTATGCTATGAGCAGCACCAAATTTCATCTACCCGATATTTTTGTTCTTGTGCTCAGTCTGTAAGGCTATGTTGGGAAGGTTCTTCTCCTACAGTTCTGTTGAAAAGGCTCGAAATAGCCTTGAAGGAACATCAATTAAATGAAGCATGGGAGTCCTTTATTGATTTTAAAAGGTTGCATGGCTTTCCTGAGGTTTTCATTGTCCGTAAGCTGATAACTGAACTGTGCTATTCATCTGACCCCCACTGGCTGCTAAAAGCATGTGATGTAGTCTTGGAAGTTTTGAAAGATCAGTCAGACTTACTGCAGTCTGATATCCTGCCAAAGCTCTCCCTCTCTTTAGCTCGGAGTCAAATGCCAAAGCCTGCTACAATGATTCTTAGAATATTACTGGAGAAAGATAATTTGCCCCCCTTGAATGCGTTATGCTTGGTTGTTCTGCATATGGTAAAGACTGAGGTTGGGACGAACCTTGCCTCTAATTTCTTAATTCAGATTTGTCATCGTTTCCAACGTTTGAGTGTAAACAAGAGTGGTCATGCAAAGAAGATTCAACCTGATACAATGATTTTCAACCTTGTCCTTGATGCTTGTGTGAGGTTTAAATTATCTTTCAAAGGCCAACAGATTTTGGAATTGATGCCTCAAACAGGAGTTGTTGCTGATGCACACTCTAGTCATCATTATTTCCCAGATTCATGAGTTGAATGGTCAGAGAGATGAGATAAAAAAGTATAAAAGTCATATTGATCAAGTTTCAGTTGCGCTTCTGCAACATTATCGGCAGTTCTATGATAGTTTGTTGACCTTGCATTTCAAGTTTAATGACATTGAGGCAGCCACTGAGCTTGTATTACAAATGTGTGACTACCATGTGTCTCTTCCAGTTCAAAGAGACAGAAAGAACTCTCATAAGTCTTATAATGTTCCAATTGGATCTCACAATCTCAAGTCTGGGTTGCAGATGCAGATTTTGCCCGAGCTGCTGCAGAAAGATTCTGTGCTAAAAGTAGAGGGCAAACATGAGCTTGTTATTTATTGGAATGGGAAACTTGTCCTTAGTAATAGGGCTCTGGCAAAGCTCGTAAATGGATACAGAAAGGGTGGAGATACTTGCAAGCTTTCAAAAATTCTACTAAAAATGCAAAAGGAGTTATGTTCCTCAAGAGGATCTGGTTTGTGTTCTGATGTGATTGATGCTTGCATTCATTTAGGTTGGCTAGAAACCGCCCATGATCTTTTGGATGACCTAGATGCAGCTGGGTCTCCCTTGGGCTTGACTCCTTTTATGTCACTCTTGACAGCCTACTACAATGAAAAGATGTTTCTGGAAGCAAAGGCATTGATTAAACAAATGAGGAATGCTGGCCTGCTTGAAAATTTATCTGATGAGATGGTTGTCGTCAAGTGTCGATCAATAGTGGATTCCAGTGCCATGTTTACAAATGCTTCAAGCTCTACTAGTAAATCAGATCTGGCAAATGCTTTGGTTCAGGAAATGAGAGATGAGAAGAAGGAAATTCCATCTACTGTTTATCAGTTCAATTCTTCCATCAACTTTTTCTGCAAGGCCAAAATGATTGATGATGCTTTAAAGACGTATAGAAGAATGCATGAGATGAAAATTCAACCCACTGAGCAAACGTTTACCTATCTGTTATATGGGTATTATTCTCTGGGAATGTTTCGTGCTATGACAATCTTGTGGGGCGACATTAAGAGGAATATTGAAAGTGGAAATTTGGTGGTAAGTAGAGATCTTTATGAGTACTTGCTGTTGAACTTTATTCGTGGTGGTTACTTTGAGAGAGTGATGGAGGTCATTGACTATATGAAGAAACGTGGTATGTACACTGACAAATGGTTGTATAGAAGTGAGTTTGTAAAACTTCATAAGAATCTTTACAGGAATTTAAAGGCATCAGAAGCCAAAACTGAAGCTCAAAGAAAGAGGCTTAAGTATGTAGAGGCATTTAGAAAGTGGGCAGACATTGACTGAAGTTCCAAGAGAAGTTTAATATGACCTGAGACTATTTACTGCAACGTTCTTGCTGCTTGCCTTTGAAGGCTAATGTCAATTGGGTAGGAACTTAATTTGGATGTTGCAAGAAAATATAGGAGAACTAAGAAGTCAATATGAGGGTAAATACGATTCACTATCGTATCTGTAAGCGGAAAAAGAAAAGCCATTTGTGGTGCATTATAATTCTACCCTTAAACAATTGAGTCATACTCCGAGTTTCATGTTTGATGTTGATGGTTTGCAACATCAAAGATATGGAAGTTGGATTATGCAAAACTGTTGCACTATGTGAAAACTTTGAATGATGTCTTATGGTCGTGCAATGAGTTGTATGTACGAGAACAATAATTGGCATCAGGACATTACTGCTATGCTCTTAGAGGTTATGCAGTTTGTTTTCTAATTGCTGCTCTGCAACTACTTCATAATATCAGTACTCAGTGAATCAATGAGGATGGAAGGTTTGGAGGTGGTCTCGCATTTTTGTTCCATTACAATTGAAAAGGTACCTCTGTTCTTTTTCATGATGAGATACAATCCTTCTTGTTCTTGGTATGTACAGCAACGTGCCCTTTTAATCACACATTCCTTTATTTTGAAACAGAATTTTATTCTACAAGTAAGTAGGTGACTTGTATATTTTTGGTGACACGTAGTTTTTGATAATCTTGGATCTAACGGAAGACGTGACACAGAACTGAGTGCAATGGCGTTCTAGGATTCATATAGCCGTCCCCACTTAGTGGGAGAAGGCTTTGTTGTTGTTTATAGTTTTTGATAATCTGATAAGCTAGAAAGCGTCAAATAGCTTGTATTTGTTTATGTTGCCCAATATGGCCAAATTGCCATTTTTCAGTCATACTTGTGCATTGAGCAGTTCTATCTATCTTTGCTGGTATGCTGGAGCTGAGATTATTCTTTCTGTTTTTCCCCTTCTGGAGAGTTGTACGTTAATCTGCAGTTGCCAATAAAGAGGTTATGTAACCAAACCTTTGTTAATTATGTTTTTTTTACCCTTCTTATCAGCTCATTTCTATCTTCTTTCGTGCCCTCTTATTCGCTTTATTATGCCTCCTGGAAGCAGAGCAGTTCTTCACTGTTGAAGGTATAAATTGTTTGTCCTTCAAACTATAAGTGCTGGGATGCACGGGAAGATAGAAGACTAACAAAACGTTGCTTTTTCATGCCGGTTACCAGTTACTAAAAAGAAGAGATTGATCAAGGATGACAATGATATGACTAAAAAGTAGAAAAGGAAAAAAGAAGCTGAAGCGAACCTAGAGAAATTATCCTGAGGAGAAAGACAAGATCATGAGGATGCAAATTTTGACAAGAAAAGGAAGGCGGCCAAGGAAACCACAGCTGGGTTAGTATTGTTTTTCACTTGTGTCGATTTTCAATGCTGATTTGTTTATCGACTTTTTCTGCATTGGTGTTCAGTGTTCTGCTGTTTGTTACACTTTTAGCACTTGGCATTCCAATGTTTTGAAATTTCTTTATGGAGAGAGTTGGGGAAGGCGAGGTCGAAAGAGGTAGGCTCCCTTGTAGAATGATGTTTCAGGGGTAGTGATTTTCACACTCCAGTATTCTCTGTTCGCATTCCTTTTGTTTCTATCCATTGAATCTCCTTTGATTCATTCAATCAAAGGGCTAGGTAAAAGGGAACAAATTGCAGGAGGAGAAAAGTGGAATGTGGAAATCACTTTCCTTTTTTCAGTTATTGTTTTCATTTTGATTGTATGAATTGGATGAAGCATAGAATTGAGTGGTTGTTAATGTTCTGTGTGACGTGTTGGTGTGTAGATCATCTGTACATGCCTTTTGATGCCTAATTTTTGTTGTTGAATATAATCACGGAAAAAACTCAATTTTTCTATTTAATTTATTTTTTATTTCTGTTTTGCATATTCAGATTATTGGAAGTTTGTTGAATTTGAGATATTAATTTTTAATTTTTTTTTATTTGTGTGGCAAAGTAGTTTACTGCGACTACTTAGATTATTAACCATGTTTGGCTGCTGAGAAAATTAGGAGATGCCGAGAAAGTTGAACCTTTTTGAACAAATTGTTTTCTTGTTTTATTGTGTGGGGATATTTTTCAGTTAGATTCTTGATTTATAGTTTGATTAATCTTGTTATGTTATCGTCATTTTCAGTAACCGAATAGATATTGTCGTTTTTCCGGCGAATTTTGGTTCCAAGCTGACCTAGTAATCTGCCGGACAGCATTAGAGAAAGGGGGGAATCTCATTTTGTTTTGCCAACTTGCGTTAAGGAGAATTCCATTATTTGTTAGTGGTCATGCCTTATCGTGTTTGTGAAAATCTATTCATCGGCAACATCAGTGATGCAGCAGAGATTCTCTAAAATGGTAGCACAGAAATCATGCATATTCTATTGCTTCTTAGTTCAGCGTCAATATCGTTTTTCTTCGAATGAAAGGGTGTAACAATACCCACAAAGGAAATTAAGGTGTATGCTGGGTGGTGCCTCAGCTTCTGAGGATGATTCTGGTGACGGGGAAAAAAGTTGTTCAGTGTCCGATAAGTTCTGTACTTGTTGGAATATGCAGGCAAGGATTTGAAGCTGGTGAGAATGGGGGTTCCACTGAGAGATATGGAGAATGAAGATATGTTGGATCATTTGGACATGTGTTTGGATTTTATATTGATAAGAGTAGAAAAGAGGGGTATGTTTCGGTCCATTGCTTTGCTGGCGTGTCTAGAAGGTACTCATCATTTTGACCCTTTATCGTTTTTCGGTTTAGTTTTATAATTTATACTGGTTCTTGTCAATACTTTTAATCAGCTTGATTACCACAAGTGAACATAGCCGCAGTTAGCTCTATGCTGGTATTCATTCAGCTTAATTCTAGGAACAACTAGGATATGTTTAAAGATACTTGTCCTCTTACTTAACGTTCTGCAATTCCATTTCTTATTGCAAATCCACAATTGTTGAATGTGTACGATAAATTATCTTTAAACCCTTAATGACGCTGAAACACCATGTGAATCTTTTAAAAAGAAACTAATAAGTCTACCCCGCTTTTACTGCATCTTTTGTTACTATTTTTGCTTGTTGGGACTGATAGTATACTCTTCTTTTTTGGGTTTTATTTTTCTTAAACATGCAAGTTTTGTTATGCTATTAGCTTTTCCAGTTTTATGCAGGAGCTGATAAAAGAGTTCCATAGAGACTAGGCTATAATTCTTGTGCTTTAATTGGCAAGTTGTCGTATTTCTGCTTTGCTCGAGTGTCATGTCATACTCGTATAAAAACTTATTGTTAGAAAGATAGAAGCATTGCCTTACCTGTTTGGTTGTGTTTTCATATTATAAAACTGGAAGCTGAGGATGTATTGTTGTTTTTCATTATCAAAACTGCAACCTGTCTCCCCCTGCGGATGTTGAGTCAACTTTTGGGTGGTAATGTCTTTTGAGAGGTGTGATGGTTGGAATTGTTTTCGATGGAGACAATGGCGGATTACTGCTCAGCGAATGTCTTTGGGACCAAGTGTTTCATTTTGATGCAGTCAGGTCAAATTTTTGACGTATTTCGGCCTGCAAATAGGAGCATACTTTGGTGGATGTCGTAGTCCGACTTTGTAGCAAACTAATTCCAAATCTAGTTTTGTTCTCTAGTTACGAATGTCAGAAACTCGAATGGAGTTGAGTTATAATCCTTAAACTAACCGTAATCTCAACCATAAAAAATGCCTAGGAGTACTAACATTAAAACAGCTATAATGCTGCTACAGTACCCGTGAACTCTTAACTTAAATGTTTTGTCCCCTCATCTACCACCTAACCGATTAACAGAAGAAAATAGATGTTAAGCGGAACAGCGGTGACAACTTTGAAAGGATTAGGAAGGCAGTTTTCCTTTTGTTCATTTACTATGTGCGTCGTTTGGGTCAGCATAGGATATGTTATAACCTACTCATTTTCGGTGGTGTGTTCAAATTTATTGGCAAATGTGAATGTGACATCCCATCTTGAGATTTATCGTATTTTATTCTTATTAGTAGTGAAATTATCAAAACTCACTAGACTCATTGTTTCACCCAATTAGTCTTTTTCCCCCCTCTCCCACGACACATCTCTCACTCTCTCCTTTTTCACTTTATTCACTCCCTCACACCTCTCTCTCCACACACCCGGTTCTCCTTCTCTCTCTCTCTCTCTCTCTCTCTCTCTCCCCTTTCTTCTTCCCGTGGACCTCACCCTTCTCTCTTCTTTTCTCTCCCTCTCACCTATGCACTAACCTCTCCTCCCCAAGGCACTGACCCTCACGAACAAACAACTATGCCGGCGAACCACCGTCACCACCACCTGAACGTCACGATCTCGAACCCATGCCAGCTCTCATCCCTCTCTTCCTCCCTCTACCATCATCGGAACACCGAGCCACCACAACCTCCACTCTGGCAAACCACCCAGATCACCATCCCTCCTCATTTTCAAACCACACGAGTGCAAAAGCACTGCAAACATCATGCCTGGGCAACCACCCTGAGAACCCAGCTACTGCCGTTGAGCTAAGAAGCTTCGGCGGGGAGCTGTGGTTTTTCCAATGAAGATCTCATCAATACCAGTGAAGGTAACATTTGATAATCCTTTTAAAACCTAGTAGATCGCGTTTCAATGTACTTTTGGAGTAGTTTTAAGAAGTTTAGTGGCTTTTGGACACATAGACCTCGAAGGAAAAACATTCTCTAGTTTCTGGCAAGAAACCCGACCCTTGCAGGGCATTTTCCGGCCAAATGCGACCACGGATGAGAAGCCCAATGGTATACTTCGATTCCTTGTATCTAGGGCTTCAATTTGATATATTAGGTTGCTAGTTTTAATTGAGTTTTGGGGATGAATGAAGCTTCTAAACTTCTGGCCTTCTTCTTCGTTGGGTCTGGCGACTCGCGAGTTTAGACGGGTCAACCCGACCAGATACAAAAAAATAGGGGCTAGAGCCCAAACCTTTGGCCTAAACCTTTAGGGAGACCCGCAAGTTCAAACGGGTTAACTTGACCCGATTGAAAAAGGGGGCACAAAACCCAAACATAGAACTAGCCCAAACCCATGACCCTTCAACCCGAATCCGGATCCGAACTTAGAATCCGGCCCAACCCAAATTCTAAATGGATTCTGGAATATTCCTTATGTTGATTTTTTTCCAAATTTTCTCGGAAACCCTCATAGGCTAATTTCGACTTCCCAAGTCCATTTTTAACATCCATTTAGGAGAATTCTGAAGTTTTAACATAGTTAACCACCGGGACGTCTTGGTTGACTTTTTAGGGTTGACTGTTGACTTTTTACAAAATTTTGCTCGGGACCCTCCTTAGCGTATTTCGATGCACTGATTCTGAATCCACTCTTCGTTTTTCCAAATTTATTCTTTTTAGTTGAGTTTCACTGACAGAACCCAATACTATGCTTAGGTGCGATTACTATGGGAGACTCCGACTTTCTTAGTTCAAAAAGATGTGACATCGCAAGTACCAGTGAGTGTGTCTTTTCATTTATATATATATATGTATATGTGATTTTTCCCAGCAGCTGCTTTTATGTACTATGATGTGACATGCCATGTTTATCTTTACAAATAAACTTTCCGTACATTTTATGTTTTTAATATTATTTGTGAGCATAAACTTGTGGCATGATATCCTTGCGATTTACATGCTCATTATTACATGTTTGCACTGTGTCTCTTAGTTATTTGTATTGTCCTGGGCCAAGGACTAGCTTCACGTGTAGTTTACATGCACCGTTTAAATTCGCTTTGGATCCAGAGTTAGGTGCTAGCCTGTCATTTTGTGTGATGTTTTGGACTCGTATGTGATGCGACTAGCATAGCTCACATGATTTAGTACTAGAATGTAATACCTACACCCAGCTTGTTCCATTGTTTGAACATCTCCGTAGTGGACTTGTGTGCCTACATAAATTAATGAGTATTGAATTCTTATAATAACAGTTTGAGATTTAATGTTGAGATACCTTGTTGTTGTACCCTACATCTTTGACTCACTTCTGCTGCAGGGTACCTACTACATACTATTATTATAATATTTTTAGGAAACCATTTTTTTTTTTTGCAGCGAGGGGTTACACTTTTCGAAAATGTTTTACAAAACTTTATTTTCAGGCCCACTCACCCTTGTTTTCAACCTTCCAAGATTTTAGTGATAGAGGCTTTGTGACGACGAGGATTGTTGGTAAAAGCTTTTATGTAGGAGACTCATTCTTTTGGTATAAATGTCCTTACTCTTCTTTTACTGCAATTTATCTATGCTCTGACATCACTTGTGTGATATGGGTTCAATCTCGCTCGCATGAACACTCTAAATTAGTCATTTTAAGGTTTTAATTTATCACATTTTCCACATCACTACACTTGATGGTAGGGCTGGGTTCGGTTGACAAATCATGCCAAATTCCTTGTGCCACCTACCAGCCACATATATATAATTACCGAAAATCAGTTACCGCTAGCCAACCGTTTTCTTACGATTGCCAAAAATCTGTTTAGCCAAAATTATTGGCTGGTTCAGTTGGTAAATGGCACAATCGGTGTTTTGCAAATAAGCTACAAAAACAACAGCTCAAGACCATGCACCGACCCATAAACAACAAACCAGAAAAGCATATACATTTGATTTTCCACTTCTTCCTCGCTATCTTCCAGTTACAAGGGCTCAATTTGATTTTCAGATTGGAGTGCTTGTTTGGTTGCATTGTGTGGTTCATTTGGGGTTAATCCATGTTGTGCACTAGCGGTTGATTGGCTAGACTCCATCATCCTAAACATAAGCAATGCATATACATTCAAAATCATATATATGTACGTGTACATACAGTATCATAATCATCATGCCATCAATTTTGTTAACAATATTTTCTATATTTATTATGGCATGAATCATATATATATATATATATATATATTTTTTTTTAAAGGGAATTGTTATTAGCACTTCTAAAATGTCATTTGGCCCTCCAAACTTTCTATAATTAGAAAGAAAAATACACTTGTGTGGAGTGTAGAATGAAATTTTTGGAATGCTAATAACAGTTCCTTTTTTTAAACCCTAAAACTAAGGAGTCATTTATTTTCTAAACCCTAAAACTAAGGTGGATTTATTTCTACCAAATTATGAAACGGCTGCATCCAAAGATCAGAGTTCGAGTTTTATGGTAAAAATATTTTGAGTTTTAATTCAAAATGGGTTACACATTTGAATGGACTGAATTAATAGAGTATGAACTTGGGACCTTATAACCTTTTGGGTTTTGTTTTGCAGGAAAGGCCACCGATTGGCAAGGACTTGCTATTGAGACTACCACTTTCATTACTAATTAAATTGTTTGCCATTTGCTTTTACTTATTAAATTGACTGTGTATTGATGTGAGAATTATACGCACACAAATTAAACCCTCTTTTTATCAATTGTAGTGAAGAATGTAAGTAGGGATCGTTCTGGACCGGGGATTAGGAGGGATTGTTAATCACTTGGATTTGACTCAAAAACGTAAAAACACAATATAAAACACTATACTGGACTCAAAGAATGCAAAACTAAACTTTAAAACACCAAAACAAACCAAAAGACTCAAAACTGCCTTAAAAACACAATCTGGGCAGTTTTGAACACTAGACACAACTTTGGACGAAAATTGGTTTTAACTTGACCTAAGACACTTAAAAACACAACTAAAGTGATTTCTAACTACTATGACTCAACAAAGTAAAGGGGGATTGGTTTTGGACGAATTTAAAAACAAAACAAACTTTTTGAATTAGAACAGATTGTAAAAACGAATTTGATGGAATTGAATGGATGGGAAGCTAGCTAAGGGGTTCATCTCCACACATGCCATACTTGCACACAAAACGATTTCTAATTGCTTTTCAATAACCCATGAATTCTCAACGCCCCAGATTAACCGTGAATTGCA